AAAAGGAAACAGAAAAGGCTATTCTTGCATCAACAATCTCAAGAAGTAGTCTCAATTTATTTTTTCTGTCTATTGATTGTCAGGTTGACAAACGATCTTTAACATGAAGTGGGATCTGAATTTTGTCCTCACCTATAGGAGCGTGGTTACCTCTCCCAACTCACTCAACATGAAACTGTCCCACGTGAGACAACAGAATAATTTAACTCTGGACATCATCTGCTAAAGAGGCATTGTTTGAGATTAAACCAAAAGAAACGCACATTCACTTCACAAGACCCAGTTTCAACATACAGGTGTCCATTTGGAAGTCAAATATACATTCAAATTGTTCAGTTTGCCTGTGTATCGGTGCATAAGTAAGTTAGCAATCAGGTTTTGACACTGAACTTGTTTACTTTTTTACTTGTTTATTTACTTTTCCTGGACACTTGATAAGAAGCTGGACGGAGACAGATGGGGTTTTTAATAAAGCTTCAGTGTGACATTTTGAATGTCCGGCTCAGTATTTCACTACGTAATGAAGGAGCTTGTTCTTTACAAAAGTATCCATGTTTCATTTGGGTTTACGATTCTCCTCCTCTTCAGTTCAGATAGTATGAACGTATGACTCAACTAAATATACCTCACCGCCATAGTTAAAATATCCTTTTACTCTCAAATGGAGATTTTGCAGGGGAAAAAAAGGAAAATGTCAATATGCAATAAAACTGAAGATCCATCCAATGATTTCTAACCATTCTCAGCTGGATACTTCTCTTTTTCTTAATTTGGTTCCTGCTTTTCAAAAAAAATCCCCTCCTTGACCTGTCATGAGGCTGAACAGTTCTAAAATCAACCTCAGCTGCACAGTTCTACACCCTGATAAAGCAAAGAGATCCTCTTTATAACCGCTCCCTCATACACACCGCTCTCCATTTCCCTTTGGCATGTTTAGATGTGATTATTCAAATAATGCGTCTTCCTTAAAAAGACACTCCTTATGCTGCCATCACAATGTCCCCCCAGGCACTGGTGAGAGTGGAAAAAGCACCTTCATCAAACAAATGAGGATCATCCATGGAGGAGGATACACAGATGAGGACAAGAGGAACTATGCTAAGCTGGTGTACCAGAACATCTACACATCCATGCAGACCATGATCCGAGCCATGGTGGCGCTTGAGATATCTTTTTCTGACCCCCAGAACAAGGTGCAGAGTCTTTGTAAAACTCCTATAGGGTTTAGAACCTGTTCTTTCTTTCTGATGTCAGGGGCTTGAGGAATAAAAAGGGCTAATATTGTCACCTGTGTCCACAGAGCAATGCAGACTCAGTCCTGGACGTGGAGGTGGACAAGGTGGAGGAGTTTGACCAAAGCCTGTCGGCGGCCATCAGGAGTCTGTGGGCGGACGCAGGAATCCAGGAGTGTTACGACCGGCGCAGAGAGTACCAGCTGTCCGACTCCACTAAATAGTGAGAATGAGGACACACCACTTTTGTATTAGCAGCAACCGGTTCCCATGTGTCTATTTCCTCATTACTGACACTACAAAAAGCCCCTCTCTGTCCATAAATAACTACACGCTGGAGAAGAAAAGGGCTTTGAAGGATATTTAGAATGGAATTCACTCAACTAAAGTTGTCGTTTTTAGTTTTGTACATTCTTAAAAGGTCTGCATTTTGACTCACAGTGTGCCATCAGTCCCATCTAATCATAAAAAGCCACGAGTAAATACTTTTTACACCAATAAAATCCTCTGCTGTCAAACTTCAACATCTCATTTAGCAAACTTTGGCTCTTCTAAAAAAAGTATCTACTTATACAAATGTATTTTCACAGCTAGTTGGGCTCTTTGCCAGCCTTTACAGCGTTCAAGGAAGATCATTTGTATATTTGCATGTAGGTCAGGCTTCACATTTACACATTTTCTTTGAAAGCTTTCAGCTCGACAGGTTTAAAAAAGGCCCAAATTGTCTCTTATATCCAGCTATCTCACTGACTTGGATCGGATTGCAGAGCCCACTTATATGCCTGACCTCCAGGACATCCTCAGAGTCCGAGTGCCGACCACAGGTATCATCGAGTACCCCTTCGACATGGAGAACGTCATTTTCAGGTGAGATGGCGCTCACAGTAGTGGAAAAGCAATGCCGGACGCGTCGGCCTCAGACATTCCGTGTGCTCTTCGTCCCCGGGACAGGATGGTGGATGTGGGGGGCCAGAGGTCGGAGAGGAGGAAGTGGATCCACTGCTTTGAGAACGTAACCTCCATCATCTTCCTGGTGGCGCTCAGCGAGTACGACCAGGTTCTGGCCGAGTGCGACAACGAGGTGAGTAACCAAATCAGGGGGGGGGGCGCCCAGCTCAGAGGGGACCATGCGGCTCGATCCGCCGCCTCATCTTTGTGCTCTTTCCGTCTCAGAACCGAATGGAGGAGAGCAAGGCCCTGTTCAAAACCATCATCACCTATCCCTGGTTCGAGAAGTCCTCCGTCATACTCTTCCTCAACAAGACCGACATCCTCCAGGAGAAGATCATGTACTCTCACATAGCCACCTACTTTCCCGAATTCACAGGTTAGTTTGTGTGAAGAGCCGTCCTCACTCCTGGTGTGGTCAGCTAATTTTAACCCTAACAGGGAAATCTGAATGGTTCCCTTGAAACTGTACGAATACTCTGAATACTCTAGTTTGTGTTCTTTGCAGCCGCACAAAGAATGTGGCTGCCCACATTTCTCTAACAAATACAAATGATTTGTATTTACATGTATATGACATAATATTCGCCCTGAATCGCAGGACCTCAACAGGATCCAACTGCTGCTCAAGAATTCATCCTTAAAATGTACCAAGAACAAAACCCGAACAGGGACAAGAAACTGTACGCCCACTTCACCTGCGCCACCGACACAGAAAACATCCGCTTTGTTTTCGTGGCCGTCAAAGACACCATCCTCACAGCCAACCTCAAGGACTTCAACCTGGTGTAAAAACAAGAAAGATTAAAGAAATGACAGAAGGATGAGTACATAAGAGCCTCATATTTGGCAAAATCCTTGAATCTTTTCAGATAGAATGAAAAAAACTCTGTTTAAACCAGTCGCTTGTGAAGTGCACCAGCAGACGTAGTCAGAGAGAGCACAAGACAAACTTCTGGTCGGAGGTTACTGTGTTTAACCTGTAACTCTCTATAGATGTAGTTTTCATTCTAGTGTCCACTGGAAGCTGATATCTAGATACTGTATGGAAGAGATATTTTACAGTAGTCGTGTAAAATAGTGGGAAACAGCTTAGTTACTGATCCTTAGAGTGAACCAATGTAAAAAAAAAACTCACACACATGAATATAATCTTGTGTGCTTTAACTTATAAATGTAGGTATTTATATTTAGCCATTGCTAAGAGTTCCTTCTCGTCTTATTTTTCTAGATACTGAGCCAAGAAAGTGCCTTTTTCACTGAGTGCCGAAATAGTCTGAAATATAATAAATCCTTTAATCTGGGTTTGAGTCAGGTGGTTAAAACTTTTATTTAACAGCACACTGAAACTGTTTCAGGACTGTTTCCTGCCAAGCATCATTGCATTTAAAGTATATCTAACATTTCTACCATCAGCTTTCTTGCAGTGGAAGCACTTGAGTTTCCTCGACTACAATAACTGTGAGGATCATCATGCAAAAATAACACAACTGTTTTGTTATTACACACAAACTGATGACAAATGGACTTAAGTCTGTATTCTGTTCTTTGCAATGAGATTTGTCCAGAGAACTCACCTGTACCTTTATTTACCCTCCTGATTAATTTGGTTTCAGGCTATTTTAAGTCAAAATATTTATTTGTAGATCTGGGACACTCAGAATCAAATGCACTGCAAATGATTAAATCAGTTAAGGGATACACATTTTTCGAAAAGAAATTTCTTACAATTTTGCACTGCTGTGAACCAAAATCCACTCCTGTTGGGGGTTAAACCCTTGGTGGATGTTCCTTTTATACTGAATAATGACACCCTTTCCTTTAACCGAACAATTGCCAGATACTTTTGTGTGAACTTATGTTAGCTGAACTCTCAACATCCCTGAATGTTTAGTTTCCATCAACAATTGAAGATATTGAGTACAAATTTGTTTTGATCGTGGATCTGTTCAACGTTCACTTAACAGCGAGCACGTTCAAATGTTTGTTTCAGAACGCTACCAAATTTCTTTGGGACTGAGATTTCAATTGTGCTGTAAGGACAAGGACATATTTCTGGAGGAAAATTTGTAGTTGTACTGACATTTTTATTTTGGGAGTTAAAAAGTGTGTGTTTAAGGATTATTTTGTACAGATGATAAATAAAGATGATCATGAAGCTTAAAGTATGTTTTATTTTTTTAAAACAGAGAAAGACGGAAACCTTTTTGCCTCCACCCAAAACAAAATGAAAAAAAATTGACACCTCAAAATTAAAGCAAATCTTTAACATACAGAGAAAACAATAAATGATAATAATTAGCATTCCCTAATTTTAAATATATTTTTGCATAATTCATCAACATGTTTGGCATTGCATATGTGGTATAAAAACATAAAAATCACAACATTACAATCTGCTTCTTGCAGACTGCTGTCAGGATGGGTATAAACAGACAGGAGATCAGTGTACAGCGGGCTGATGCGTGTCGGTGCAGTATAAAAAACAGCATGCATCTCTAAAACACACACCGAACAGTCTCACTATAGCAAAATTATTAAGAAAAAGAGCACACTTTGAATAATGAGCGCACTGAGGTAAAACGCACACTAACTGAAAGTTGTTTCCCTTTCAAATAATCCAACATAAATTATGCTACAACATTTGTGGTTAATGTGCCCTTGTGTTTCATCAAGAGATTTTACAGCTGCTGCAGTGACACATCTGCCCCCGCCTTCAACTTCAAATATATTTAATCAAACTGAGTGAAATTCATGACACATGAAGGCTTTTCTAATCCTCATGTTAACCCAGCACTTTGAACATGAGCAGATATTACAAAATGCGTCTGTAAACTCAAGACTTAATGTAATTCTTCTGAAAATACATCAATAAAACTCTTATTTTGTGCAAAAGGATGAGTGCAATCAGAGCAAATAGGGTGAGGCAAAGTTTTCTTAATTAATTCGGAACCCGTGTGCTGAATACGATGCGATTCAGAAGCCCGTCCATAACACTTCTGTTAATGTACAAACCCATACACAGCCACAGCAACATCATGCAGTAACCAAAGGCACTGACACACACCCATTAGTGTGTTAGTGTGAGTGTGTGTGTGTGTGTGTGTGTGTGTGTGTGTGTGTGTGTGTGTGTG